CGTTTTATATAAGCTCATTCAAAATCACAATCTAAGCAGAATTTTGTTGTACTTCATTGTTGAAGATTCAATGGACCCAGGAAGAAAACCTTATACAGGTTTTGTTATACTACTGTGTTTCGTAGCTAGGATACAAAAATAAGCTAAAATTAAAAAAAAAAAAAAATATATATATATATATATATATATATATATATATATAAATGATAGATCTTTCATTTTCACCATTCTAAGGGGCTTATGTAAATTATTAGGGTCCCAATTAATAAGTTTAGCTTTGAGATTTAGAACTATTTTCTAAATTGGCATTAACTTTATGTTATCTTATGGGTTTGTAAACTAACAATTTTGTCTGCTAAGGATGCCTTTGTGTTTATCTTCAAAATAAGCCAGTTAATAAAATTAGTCCTCGTGGAAGAGGTGGATGATCCAAGAGTTTCTAAAATTTATTTTAAAACAAATTGGGTGAAGATATTTTTTTGGTTCCCTGGTGATCACCATCTAGTGCTACATATCTATTGCTTATTACAAATTGGAGCATTTTTTTACAAGATATTTTAAATAATTTTATTTAGCGTAAATGAGAGAAATCCCAAACAAGGAAAAAGATACATAGTTTTTTTTATTTTATTTTTTTATCTACAATAATGGAGGGTGGTCAAACCTTACAATTGACTATTAATAATGTAGTTCAAATTTGCATTTAAACATAATCAAACATAAAACCTCTCACTCACAAATGAAAACAACAGTTTAAGAGAAAATCTTGTCCGAAAAAAAATCAAGGTTCTAAAAGACGCTAGGTGCTAGTCAGACGGAGGGTTAGGGCTAGACGGCTAGGCGGATTTAAATAAACTATTGTATTTGTGTAAATAAATGTCTGTTTATACTTAAAAATATATATAATTTTAGCATAAACTAGAAAATAGAATGACATATATATTATGAAGTATTGGAATATAATGAAAATATGGGGAGCAAACATATAATATGTGTTTATTTAAGTGTTCAATAAGCTCTTACAATTTATTGGAAACAATAAAATGCAAAAGGAAAAGTATCTATTTTCTATCTAAGTGAGTTGCAACCTAGGCAGGTGTTTAGGTGGGTCTGGGCGGGCGCCTCAATAGGTCTAGGTGTCCTTTCTTATTTTTCAAATGCTTAAGCATTTATTAGGATGGTGACCAATCGCCTAGCACTTAGGCGGTAATTTTTAAAATAATGAAAAAAACTCAATAAGAGAAACCCCGAACAAGGAAAAAGAGAACCCCATGACCACCAGTTAGATTCCACTAACTCTATATAATTTTACGGAAAGTCATCATAAATACAGGACTATATTGGCATATTGCTCATAACTAACTAATTGATATAATCCACATTGCTCTTTAAGGGTTGGTTTCGGATTGTGGTGCTTTTATTAAAAAAAAAAGAAGAGCTTATTAAAAAAATCTAGAACATTAAATGTATTTGGTTAAAAAAAAAAAAAGGTGTTTTTTAAAAAAAACTATTGTCAATGAAAGTAGAAAATAGAGAAAAGCAGAAGCAGAGTCTACTATGCTTCTAAAAAAAGTGCCCTTTTTTTTTTTGTGTGTTTTGTTTTGTTTTTTTTTTAAAGTATAGTAATCAATGCTCATTTAATAAAATTTTCAAATGCCAAGTATACTCCAACATGTTTTATAATATAGGTTTAACTTCGCTGTTGAAAGAATCAACAACCCTTCCTATTGAGAGCCTATCACAGCGCGACATGTGTCTGAGTTGTGATTAAAAAAATCACAACTTGGACACATGTCCAGTCGTGATTGGTTCTCAGCATTAGAGGCGGCTGATTCTTCAGCAGCCAAGTCTTGTTCTTATAATATTACAATATTTGCCCTTACATTATTGTCTTTGACAATTATTATATCATACTAAATATTATATCATTTTTAGTCATTTAACATATTCAAAGTAAATTGTCACAACCCGTCCCGGAATTTTAATTCCGAGGACGTGAAGTTATGAAAATGCCCTTAAACGGGACTAAGGGGCGTAAAATATGTTATAACTTGATGATTTGGGGAGTGGGTAGGACCCCACATCCCTCAAATCTCTCCCCCATTTCTGCATCTTGTCTCTCTCTCTCTCCTCCCTCACAAATCTCTCATTCTCTGTCAGTTCTCTCTCTCTCCTTCGAACTCACACAGACCACCCACAAAACCACCCTAAAACTATACCAACGAAAGATCTAAGACCACCATCGTACTCCTGAGGACCACACGAACACGATGGTACCAATTTCAGGTGAGTTTCACTTCGGAAAACATGGATTTCAATTTCACTGTACGTGTGCACTGTTCATGCACATGTAAAACTTGATGTTTTTGGGATTTTGAAGCTTGTAGGAAGCTTGGTGAGGTCCTAAGGAAGCTCGGAGTGCTTCGTTTGAAGGAATTGGACGTCGGGATCACGAACTGTAAGTTTGGCCGGAGCTTTCGGGGCTTTTTCCGGCGAATCCATGCCGAGTTAGGGGTTAAGGAAGGTATGGATGTGTTCGTCTCGTCAATACCTTCATTTTGATATAAAGAACGTCGAAAATGGTTAAGAAATGAAGAAGTTATGACACTTTGAAATTTACCCAGAAATTCCGGCAAAACACCCACCTCCGGCGAAACCAGTCCAGCGACGTGAGGAAGAAGACGCGCGCATGGGCAGCGCGTAGACAGGGCGCGTGAGGGTGCGTGAGAGCTCCAAATTGAGTTCTAAAAATTGTCACGTGTTCGTGACGTCGTGTAGATCACCGTGGTATATTCACATACCCAAATTGAGCAACGTATGAGAAAGTTATTGACGAATGTTTGGTGTATGTGCGTTAAATAACGTCAATTTGGTTACTTTTTGTATAGGTGAAAATTATACAGAAGAAGAATGTAACCAATCTAGGGGAGGCTCAGGGATCTACGAGACGTCGATGTGATCTGTGAGTGGGCAGTTTTGTTTTCCATATATATATACTTGACGTATTTCCCAGAAAACGTATTTTAAAAGAAATACGAATTAAATATCCTGTCATATATGCATCGTATTTTAATATGTGCATTACCATAATTATGCATACTGTTGCATGGTGCTGAGGAGGCCCAGGTAAGCTACATTTGATATACGTATGAAATACATTTTATATACGTATGAAATACATTTGATATACGTATGAAATACGTTTGGAATACGATTGAAATACTATGGAAATACAAATGAATTATGATTATGATATGTTTGAAATATAATTGAGATATAATTGAGATACGATTGAGATATTATGCTGATAACGATCATGAGATATGATTGAGATATGAAGAATCATATGATAGAGATGTGATAGAGAGCTCATAACCTGCACCCCCAGTATGAGTGCTCCCGCCCTGAGCAGGGCACAGCCTTCACGTGATGTTCACCTCCCCGCACCTTATGCTCAGCTTGGATCCAAGCTAGGTGCACAGCCTGTCGTACAGACCACATTAGGTGGTTCCGACTCGTAGGTGACCCGCGATTATTCGCCCAGCTTCACGTGATCGTAGCACTAAAGCATACACAGCCTGTCGTACAGACCACTTTAGGTGGTTCCGACTCGTGGGCAGGTTCAGTTGTTTAGTTATTGTGAATGAGATTTGAGCTATATATGCAGCCGTACAGGTCACGTTAGGTGACTCCGGCTGCCAGATTATATGTTATTGATATGAGTTATGCCTGAGTACTTACATTTTATTATGAGATTCCGATGTGGCATATCTTGAGCATAGTTGGCATACCTTTGAGCTTGATTGACATATTTATACATACGTATATATGCTTATTTTCTGGGAAAGTATACAAGTTTTACGGAGAAGGGTTACAAAGTTTTTGAGAAGTGTTTGGATTTGGAAAAGATTTGTTTTACTGACCCACTCAATTTTGGTTTTGCGCCCCTCCAGGTTCAAGAATTGCAAAGGTGTGGTGACTACGAGGAATTTCAACGGTGTTCTGACAGAATGGATCAAATGAGGACTCACCTTCGGGTGTTTCATCTTAGAAGTTGTATATTTTTAAAGCTTCCGAACTGTGTAAATGGTTACGTCACTCTCACGTGACGGCCAACATGCCCTCCTTCGGAACGGGGTGTGTCATAAATTATATAAAAGTTTACCAAACACTCATACACTGTTTTATTTTTTATTTTATTTTTTTATTAAAAGCACTTTTACAAAAAAAAGGTTTACCAAACACTTAACAACTTTATTTTACAGCTGTTTATTCTCACAGCACATCAGAAGCAATTTATTTAAAAAAAAGTATAGCAATACCAAACTACCCTAACTTTACCTGTCTAGTCTAGGAGATAATGTTTGAACTCCCACATCGAAGATTTAACAAACAAATTACAACTAATATACAAATGGTTTTAGGATAAAATGTCACACCTCTTAGGCAACATGTGTTTAGTTAGGGATAGTATTGGTGTTGGACCATTCGACCCATCTCTCTGAAACTTTAATGTGATATCAATGTAGGTTTGTTTGGACTCAAAAACTGGGTCTGTACTCTTTTCGGACCCCATTATTGCCTAATATTCACATGTGGAGGTATGTTGGAAACTCCATTTCCAGATGTGGAAGTTCTCTTCACATGTGGTCTACTAAAGATATGGTCCCACATGTAGAGGTATGTTGGAAATCCCACATTGGAGATTTGATCAAACAAATTACAATTTATATACAAATGGTTCTATTTTTAATTGCATCAGAACTTTTTAGGATAAAACTTCACACTTCTTAAATTACACGTGGTTAAGTTGGAGACAATATCTGGTGGAACACTCGGCCCATCTGAAACTTTTAACAAATATGTTGATAAGAATTAAGTTACCTTGCCAAGAAATTTCGAAATAATTTTTCGGAGAATCCAAGGAATCCAAAGCATAAAAAAATATACAAAGCATATTTCCTATATATAAATGCTGTATTCCATTTCCATCTATAAGCACTATTTTGTGACTCCTAATTGGAGAATAAAATAAAGAAGTGGGTGTCAATTATTACTATTGCTTTGCCCAGTTTCCAAGCCCTGAGAGATTGCCATTGCGTAAGGTAAAGGAATAACATGTGAGCTTCATCAGTTATTGAGTTTTTGAAGCCAAAATGCTTCTGGGGAGGAAAGAAGAACATGCGGGAAAAATTAGAGCAGTCCGATAACGAGCAGACTAAGACGAAGAAGCAGCGGCAGCAGCAGCAGATGACAGTGGTTAAGAAGAAGAAGCTCACTTTGGAAGAGTGGTTCTTAGCATCATCGCTGTGCCGAAACGACGATATTGATAATAGGGTTAGTAACAACAGTGAAAAGGAATACTATGGTTCTGGAGGGAATTGGGTTTATCCATCTTTAGGTGGAGAGGATTCAGATGATGTGACCTCCACTTATAGGAACAGTTTTTCTTTGCAGAAGCTGTTGACTGATGAAAGTGGAAGAAGTGATGTCTATGATCCTTGCTTGTGCCGAAAAGAAAGTAGTGGAAAGGTAAAGAAAAGGGCCAGCTTTAAACTACAAGAAGAGGCTGATATATTCATTTTCTGTTCACCGGATCATCAAGGTGATGTTCAAGAGGAAAGTAGAATTTAGTAATATATATATTACCTCTGATCAGGACTTCTTGCTGTCATTCTTCCCCTGTAGAAATTCTTTGGTTAGGAAATCAGGGATGCAAGTTTGACTACCTTTGATATATTCGATTTCAAAATAAAAAAATACTTAATATAGCTTGCCATCGTGCAAAAATCTGTTTTGATGCAATGTTTTGAATATCTTTTTGTAAAACATGTTTTGTAGATTTGCAATCGATTATGATAAAAAACTTTTGATTTAATAAATCATCTTGAAATTTGCTAATGCATAATGCTATAGATAATATTTCTTTCTTAATAGTACTATAATTACTTTGTGCAGGATTCCATATTCCTGAATGGAAACGAACAATTTGTTCAGGAAATTCGGAAGAAATTGATTGTTTGAGAATACCTCCATAACCAATTTTAGAGGTATCAGTTTCAACAATTTTGAATGAATTGGAAGTTGGAATGCCAAGATAGGGCAAAGTCTTAATATGTGATTTGATTTGTTTGACTATGAAAGTATGAGTATTGGACCATGATGAGGGATTTTCTTTTAGATGATCAAACAAGGGTTTGCATTGTTGTCTAAGATGTGGATAAAATTTTGCAATATAATTTAAAGATCCTAAAAATCTCTGTAATTGGGTTTTGTCAATGATTTCATCTGGGAACTTATCTGCAAATTGAATTACTCTATCTATTAGTTGAATGGTTGACTGGTGGATATTGTATCCTAAAAACCTAATATTGGTTTGGAATAACTTAATTTTGGTTGCTGAGACAACTAATTCATTTGGTTTAATTATCCTAGCAAACATGTTTTAAGTGTTTCCAATGCTCATCTATCGATTTGGAATAAATGAGAACATCGTCAATATAAACAATTGAGAAATGACTGTATTGATTAAATATTTCATTCATAATATTCTGAAATTCACAGTGGGCATTCTTAAGACCAAACATTACATTCCATTCATAATAACCAAAAGGAGTGACAAATGCTGTTTTGTATTTATCATCCTCATGAATTTGAATATGCCAAAATTCAAACTTCATGTTGAATTTTGAGAAGATTATAGCTTGACTAAGTCTCTTAATTAAATCTCTTTTGTTAAGAATTGGATACCTTATCCATTCCAAGACTTCATTAAGAGGTTTGTAATTAATGACTAACCAAGGCGTTCCTCTTTCGAACTCAACGTTCTTTTGGACGTAGAAAGCAGGACAAGACCATGGTGATTTACTTTTCCTAATGATTCATTTATTGAGAAGTTCTTGGATTTCTGTTTTGCAGAATTCCATAACTTCTTGACTCATTTGGATTGGTCTAGCTTTTGTTGGAATTTTCTTTTCATAAAACTCCTTATTGTAAGGAAGTTTAACCATGTGTTGTTTTATGTGCCAAAAGATGTTGGGAATATCCGAACAAATTTCATTAAAAAGTTTCTTTTGAAAGTTGTCAATGCTTTGTAACAAAGATTTGTTTGTTAATTGTTCTTCAATTCTTTTGTAATTAATTTCTTCTTCTAAGAAATTAATTTGTTGTGATTTTTTGGTAACTAGATTGATGATTTTCGATATGCTATCTTTTTGTAATTGTCTTAATTTTTTTAGATTTGTTTCTGTGCAGAACTCAAATGTGATTTTTTGTCCTAACATTCTAGTGGTTGTATGATTATTATGTACCTTAAAAGGATATAGGAGAGCTATGAAGGGGATACCTAAAATGACTGGGTCTCAAATATTTTTTATCAAAACAAATGGAGTTTTAAAACAAACATTGCTTTGACAGACATGGTGTGACATCCCACATCGCCCAGGGAAGTGATCCTTAAATGTATATTCCCATCCCTACCTAGCACGAGGCCTTTTGGGAGCTCACTGGCTTCCGGTTCCGTAGGAACTCCGAAGTTAAGCGAGAAGAGGGCTAAAACACTCCCAGGATGGGTGACCCATCGGGAAGTTGCTCGTGTGAGTTCCCAAAAACAAAACCGTGAGGGAATGGTAAGCCCAAAGCGGACAATATCATGCTACGGTGGTGGAGCGGGCCCGGGAAGTGGTGCGCCCCGGGCCGGGATGTGACATTGGTATCAGAGCCTATCCCTGGCCGGAAATGTGCCGACGAGGACGTCGGGCCCCTAAGGGGGGTGGATTGTGACATCCCACATCGCCCAGGGAAGTGATCCTTAAATGTATATTCCCATCCCTACCTAGCACGAGGCCTTTTGGGAGCTCATTGGCTTCGGGTTCCGTAGGAACTCCGAAGTTAAGCGAGAAGAGGGCTAGAGCACTCCCAGGATGGGTGACCTATTGGGAAGTTGCTCGTGTGAGTTCCCAAAAACAAAACCGTGAGGGAATGGTAAGCCCAAAGCGGACAATATCGTGCTACGGTGGTGGAGCGGGCCCGGGAAGTGGTGCGCCCCGGGCCGGGATGTGACACATGGGCTTTTGGGATTTCATATTTTAATTGCATTGGTGACTGATTTGCAGCACTAAGAATTTCTGTTGATTTATGGCAATACTTAGTGGGAATTAAACCTTCTTGAATACAATTCAAGTTTGCACTTGAGTTAATTAAGGCAATTGTTTCTAATTGGAAGCCTTCAATTATTATTTTTATTTTAGAATACCATTTCTGAATCCTAATTTTTTTGTAGTAATCCTAAAACTAGGTTTTCTGTTGGATTTTCTATGGATTTTGATTCTGACTTTTGATCGGAGGAAGAACTATTGTGTTCTTCATCATTATTGCCAATGAGTACTTGTGTTTGGATACTACTGAGATGTGAGCGAATTATAACTTAAATCATCTTCAGATTGACTATGGTCTGTGTCTCTTAATTCTAAGACTTGGATTAGCTGGGTTTTTTCTTCTTTAGAGATTTTCAATTGGTTGATTGTTTTCTTGACTCTACATTTATTTGCATAATGACCGAATTTGCCACACTTGTAGCAATTCCTTTTTGTTCTTGGTTTTTGGAGTGGAATTTTCCTGAGGGTTTCCTCTTCCATTTGCTGGACTTCGGTTTCTTGTAAAATTTATTTGTTTCAAAATTCTTATTTTTGAATTTGTTATATTTGGGATGTCTCCTACTGGAGTACCTATTTGGGTATCTATTGTAGGCTTCTGATTTTTTCTTTTTGTTGGATGGAGCAATAGGAGGTAATCCGTATTGTTCACAAAATGTTCCTAATTTTTATTTGCCTATTGACTTGTCTTTATTGACTTGTTTTGTAATTTTCATATCAATACACATTTTCAATCCTTCTTTCTGGATAATATTAATAATATTTCCATATGTAAGGGTATGATATGGTATGATACCTTCTTCATTAACTAAAACATTTCTAATTTTATGGGCAAATAGATTTGGTAATCCGTTAATGAATTTTTCTTTCCAAAATGGTTGATTACTATCTTCTCTAAGCATGACTCTAGACATTAAAACATCTTTATACCATCTAAAATAGCTTAAGGTTGGACATCTTAAGTTACTAAGTTGGTCATGAATTATGGAGGTGACATTATTGAGTGTCCCTATGAATTGTTCTATAATGGTGAAAAGTAATGTGTTGACTGTATCTGGGACTCCTCGTCCTAGATGCTCATCAAAGATGGGTGTTCCATCTTCATCTCTTTTGACTGCATTTTTAATTTCATTTCTTAATTGTTCAGTGAGATGTTTTTCCCACCAGGAATGGAGCATTCCTGTAAATCTAGTGACCAAAAGGTCGACAACTTGTGTTTAACTGAGGTTATGATTGGTAATATAACTATTAGCAACCATGGAGATGTGTTGTACTTTGTTCAAAAGTTCTTATTCTAATAATCCATTTATGTTCCATTCATAGAGTTTATCAGCTGAGACTGAGAATTGATTTTGGATGTTTCTTTCCTCAAATTGAATATCCGGATGTGTTGACCTGGGATTCCAATTTTTGGTAAGAGTTGTTGGGTTGATTCTTTTGTTTGTGATTCGTTTTAGTTCAAGATTTTGAAAAGCTTCTTCTACTTTTATGATGGAATTTGTTTCACTTTCTCCTTCTGAATCCCATGTTGCAGAAGTTGTTTTTGGTTGAGATTCATCTGGTTGTTGAAAAACATTAACTGTTTTTTCTTGTTTTAATTCTTGTAACATTTGATCTATTTTCCGACTTATGGAACTTGTTTTTAAAGTTATTGTGCTAGAGGAAGACTCTGGGAAGTTGACTAAGGGTTTTTCCATAATTGTTGGTTTTGGTTGAGAAAGTCTATCTATTTTGGTTTCGATTTTGTCTAATTGTTTTCCTTTGGTGTGTAGACTCTGGTTTGTGAAATTGTTTTGTTCGATGACTGGCTTGACTCTTGCATCTTCTTCTGAAATTTTGAAAGGAGTGGCTGGTGTAAGAATATTTTAATATTCTAAAGTGGTCCACATGACGCGATCCATATGATATGTAGGTTTAACAGATATTATTAGTTGTAAATAATCCTATTGGTCAAATTATGAGAAATATTTCCTACCGAATTACAATGATAGGTGGTAATTGATTATGGGCTTTAAATGGAAACGGGTCCTTTCTCTGCCTCACTGATATATATTGCATATACCCATCTAATATGCACTTGATAGTAGAAAAACACGATTAGGGTTTTCACGTGCAAATAGAGGCAAGAGAGAGAACACCTATTTCCTCCTACGTCGACAGAATCCGATTGGGATTGATGCCATGAATGATGAGTTAAAATCAATGGACCAAAATGAAGTCTGGGATCTTGTTGAATTGCCTAAAGGTTGTAAGCGAGTTAGGTGTAAGTGGGGTTTTAAGACCAAACGCGACTCTAATGTCAATATAGAATGATATAAAGCCATATTGGTGGCCAAAGGTTTTACTCAGAAAGAAGGCGTTGATTACAAAGAGACTTTCTCACCAGTTTCAAAGAAAGACTCTTTTAGAATCATTATGGCATTAGTAGCTCATTATGATTTAGAGTTACATCAAATGGATGTGAAAACAGCATTCTTGAAT